AGCACGATGGTAATGGCAATTTGCATAATATTTTTTGAAATACAGTATCGTCAATTACATCATTGTATTTTGTTATGGCGTTTAACGTCAACTAGAATACACATTAAATGGGAAGTACCATCGCCGTAGTCTGAGAATGCGTTGAAAATCGAATTTCGAACAACATTCCAGGCCACTTCACATCATTCACTTACCTTCTGAATAACAGATTCATTTACACTTATTGAATGTTGTTATTTTCATTATGTAATTTTTTTTTGGTGCGCAGTATACTTTTTCTTCAAATAAACATTTGTAGCTACTTGCAAATTACAAAGTCTCAACAATATAAATTCAAAGTGTCGAAAATGTTTGTGAATAAATATTATAATGTAATCGTTAGCAGAGCGGTTCAGTGCCACGTAGCCATTGAGAAAGATTTGCATAGAAATGTGCTCGAAGCGAGTCACAGCCACCATAGCACAAGTGAATTGTTAATTGGACTTTGTGCGACACTCCTATTCCATCACAACGTTTACATCGAAATGAACTTTATTTTTGGCATTTTATATAGAATTCGTTTTTAACCATTGGAAACTTTGCAACGCCATTGAAAAGTTGTTTAACGAATTCATTTCAAAAATAACGTCGTTATTTTTGACAAATTGTTTCTTTGCCATTCCATTTGTGAATTGGCTGAGTTTTCGCCACCACATCAGGGAGAGAAAGAGAACTTTTTGCAATGCATTCACGTCAAACGCTAATTCATATAAACGTACAACAGTTTATCAAGCCACAACAAACTTTCTATTATTATAATGTTCACAAAAACTCGAAATGACTGTTAGTTATGTATATGTTTTATTTCCTCGATTAACTTAACCGAACCAATTTCGGACAAAACTATTGTATGGATTTAAAATATTCTAACTTTTACAAAACCAAAATGATTTATTTATTATAGTTTCAAACAGTTCAACAGAATTGGGCAAATTTCATTTGATCACTTGTACTCAAAATGTTTCATTGGGAAATAAATCTGCTTATGTTTATTGAAGGTACTTTGTTAAAGCAACCGAAATCAAAACCTCAATTCAAATATGAAAGCTTATGCGATGGAAAAATAATGGAAAAACGATGAAAGATTACATAAGACTCTATCTTTTGGTTGTGTTTTTGAGTATCATCGTTTTGGTTTGTTTAAAATGGAAAATGAACATATATAAATAGTATGGCAAAATGATGAAGTTTTTGTTTTAAATTGCATTTTGTTATTCTCATTGCATTCGTAATCGTGTTTGTGTTTGTGTCACACATTTTTTTTCTTTCTTCATCTCGCAACGAAGCAAATGGATAGAATCAACTGCTATATGAATAGTTATTACGTGATGTAGGCGATTATAGGCAAACATGAAATGCGGATGTTGGAATTGCACAAACATCGACAATCTTAAAAAAGGGAAATACAAGCGAATGATGGACGTGCTTTAGTGCACTTTTTTCTCAAATATGAGACATTTTCGTTGCAGCAAAGATGAAAATACTGTGCTGTTTTATTACATGTATTCCAACAGAATGAAAAAAAGTCGAAATCCAAAGAGGAAAAGCGAGCGAGGAAAAGAGACAAAGGCAGAAAAAAAGAAAGAAAAAATGCATAAAGAAATAGAATAAAGCGGCGAGATATGAGCACAATTATGGGGAAATTTTTTTAGATTGCAATCATTTCAAACACACACAAACAATAGTTGAAGAAAATCCACATAACAAAACAAAGAAAATGAGAGAGAGAGAAACCGATTGGCATCAAGACAAAGAGCTTTCAAATGGTATTTTATTTTTATGTATTTGCTTTCACATGAAGCATTGCATACCGTCAATTGCTTACATAGAGATGAACTAGCGAATTTATAGTGGTTAAGGCTTAAACTGTATGGTGGATCATAAATCTCTCTTTATTTTCGCATATTTATTCAAATTGCATCCTTTGTGGTCGCTTTGAATAATAGTTCAAATCGTTTTCTGTCCCATTTCCATTCGTTTTATTTTTTCTTCTTCTCCATTTGTAAATGGCATTCAATTCGAGTGGTAGAATGTGTGTGTTGAGTAGCAAGAGAGTGCTATGGCAGCTCGGGAAATTGATGGAAGATATAATCACAAATCGAATACCTCAAGCACCATTCAAAGCTCATCAATGTGACTGAGGCAGACATTTCGCATTTCAAACAACTTGCACCAGATTAGACAAACCACTCCAACGACACAACGTCATGGGCAATACGATATCTTTACGATTACATCGCCAAATCGCGAAACTAAACACTTATAACAACAACCAGCATCAGCAGCAGCAACAATACTTACAGTAAAACGGGTCCTTGATAAATGCAATAAACCGTTGCTTTATTCAAACATCCGAGTATATCGTAAATCAAACGGAGTTTTTCCACTCACGAATTTCGTTCTCATTTCATTCCAAATTAAAATGGGCGGGCAATCTTGCAACCAAAAAAAAAGAAACGACTGCATAAGAAAAGGTCAGAAGAGTTAAGATGTCGTGCATAAGACTCAAAAGTCATATTTAACTCGATCACAGGCGGCCGCACAGTAAAAACTACATATATGAAAAGCATCTTGATACATATAATTACGAGCAAAGAACTATTAAGATGTCGCGTATGCTTAGAAAATTGTACATAGAACATTCGCCAAAGCAAATGGTGTATGTATGGAAACTGAAGTGGAACCATTTTATAGCGGCGCTGATGGAAAAATAAGGCTCTTAATGCTTTTTCTAACCCATAACCTCCATTGATGGTTTTTTTTTTCTTCGCATTTTTAGTGAGTTGGCCTTTTTGCACTTATTCCAAGTCAAGTTAATTGCGTGTAACTCTATACGCTCAAAAGAAATTACAAGAGAATAAGTCTTTTAAGTGTATATTTTTGTGCCATTTTATTCGCTGAAAATTTACTACGTTTGGTTTTGATGTATTTATTTCGCAAGAGCTCCCAACCAAGATGAAATGGAAGAGTGAATCGCACACAACTGAACTTACATCTGGGTCGTATGTTTTCTCATTCTCTACCCCTTCAATTCTGTAAGCGTATCACTTTTTTCCGCATACAAAACTGCATCAGCCTTGATTTAGCATGTTGTTATAAGTCGACAAGTGTGTATGTGTGTGCAAAAAGCAACGAGCATATGAAAATAATTCATTGAAATCTCGTGAAAAAATTCTAAAACTACATTAATGCGCTTTCAGCCACAAAGAAAAAGATACGCACATTTACAATCAACCACATATACAGGAACTTGCACTCTCATGTTAAACTCCGGAGAAAATATGCAAAGATAGCATGAGAATAGAAACAAAGAGAGAGTAAAAGCAAACTATACTGTATTAAATTCATATAAATTTCACTAGTCTTTTGTCTTATTCACTTTGTACGTGTTGAAATGAAATGATTTTCTTTTCACATAATTCCTCGATGTTTCTGTTTCTACAACTTCTGTTCTCTTTACGCTTGTTTTTGCTTTTTTCTTCCGAACAATTGTAACCCAATGTCGTTGTCGGCACACAGTCTCTCTATTTCTCCGTCTTCTCTTACTCAAAATCCAAATCCTACTTCGGATGTGTCACACACACACACATGCACACACAAGCATGTTCTTCTATGACTTAATGCCAAAGTAGCACCAAAGTGCAATCTGGCGATTATATTTAAATAGTTCATCTTCTGCGCATAATTTTATCGCCAGAAGAAAATGCTTGTGCACAGCAGAAAATCATAGGGCAAAAGTCGTTTCAGTCTCTTTGAAATAAAGTTACATGTTCGTCATGTGCAGAATAAGCCCCATATCATGAGTACAGAAATACGTACTTGAATTGAGTTCACATTTCTTTTATCGAGGCATCTTGTGATTTGGTGTCTCAATATTATAATTGTAACTAAAATATGGCCGATTCTTTTTGCTGATCTGATCGAACACGATCTTTCGAGAATTTTCCAAAAATGGATTTTCATCGGATGAAATTAACCTATTTAATTGGCATTGTTTTATATTTCTAACATGGTGCATTAGTTTCAAACATATTTCATATTCATTCCACAAATTCTGCGAAAATGGGTATAATTATTCATTGAAATTTGAATAATATGGAAAGCGTCATTTTGCTATCAATCGCTCCAATTACTTTTAATATTAAATTTAATTTGATTCTTTTGAATGGGAGAAATTGAAACAACAAGTGAAATTGATTATTTGTGGTGTGAATGGATGACGTGACACTAATTGTAAATTCATTGATTACTCTCTTCATGCGGTGCTCTATTCACTATATTTTCAAGAGATGCCACACGCGAGCATAATGGATGCATGAAACATTATTCGCAGTTTCAAAAATAAATGAATTTTCATAATGAGAATTTACATTCTACATAAATGCGTATATATGTGCCGTACTTATTAATATCGTGTTTTTTTTGCATTTGTCGCCAATCAGTCAAATTGGTTTTTAGCATTAATCACAAATATGTCGCGCATGTGCTGGCATTGCCATCAATGTTTCTATACATTGTATCAAAATATGGTCATGACATTAATTACGTTGATATCATTTTTGGAGTTTATTTCATCGTATGCGTTACACTTTTACATTTCCTCATTTGGTAATTGAGTGCGCTGGCAAATATGCTTGCCGAAATGAAAACAAAAACGTGCATTGCATCAATTTTTAATTAATAAATAACACACGGCCAGCAGCGTTGTTTGTTCAGTGAACTCAAAGCAAATGACGTTTTTTTTCACTCTGTCATGTGGCAATAATATTTGATTGAATCGTTTGATTTCAAATTAAATTACTTTCATTTACCAGAGCGCCAAATTTTGTGTTTTTGAAACCATATAGCCTTGAGAAACTCGTAATTCGTACATCATTTTTTTTTTTTTAATTTAATTTTTTTACTTTGCCAAAATTTATCATTATCGGCAAAAAACGCAATTAAATTTAAATAACCTTTTCAACACTCAAGAAAGACTTTGAATTGACGCCAAGCATTCACTTGTTCAAATCAATCGAAGTATTGTCATTTCGAAGTTATTTCTATCAAAATGAACCACATTGTACCTTTCATCATTGTAATACTATTTGGCAAATTTTGGGTGACAACGTCAATGAAAGTAAGCAATTTTTTGCCTGTAAACTACATGTTTGTTATATTATACATATATTCTTAATTTACTCAGGACCAAGAAAAATCAACATCGATTGATTGCAAGAATTACAATGAAACCGTGCCAAAATTGATGTCTACCGCTTCATGGATTGACTTTGTTGTTGCCCATGCGAAAGGGCATTTTGAAAATCTCGAATGGAATGTTTTAAAAGAACTTCACAATCAAAAACGAAATGCAATAAGTGCACTATCAAAAGAAAATGCTTCAATCGAATACCTTGAACGCATGGCTGATATTTTTACAAATTATCGTAAAGGCGTTTTGGACATGGAATACTTTATTGATGTTAAATCGACAGAGTTTACTGGAAAATTGAAGAAAAGTCTGATGAATGCTAAAAAACAAATGGAGGGAAAAGATAAAATGCAGAAAATTCAAATTGGAAAAGCATATTCCGATAGGTTTGTAAACGATATGCAGGAATTTGATCGAATGGTAACAAATGAATACAATCGAATTATTCCAATTATTTTTCAACAACAACAACAACATTCATTTTTCCGCCCAGCATAAGTTATTATTAAAGGGAAAACTAGAAATCGATTGCTAATATAACATAAAAATGTATGCTTCTCTATTTGACCAATAAAGTCTCAATATTACTTTGAAATTCATCTAAAAAACTGTCTTTAACGTCAAAAACTCTATCGAAATTACTAAACTCTACAACAAATATTGATGTAATAAGTTTAGTCATTCACTATGTCAACCGAGTATTGACAACTTTAATTAGTTTTTGTTTCTGAATAATGAAGTCATTGAAATTGGTTTTGAAAATTTTAAGTCTTTGAAATTATTTCTATTGAATTTAATTTGTCATATGACGTCTTTGAATGTTTATTAAACTGTTGAGTTCACTACAGACTTAAGCTCGAACTATCTGTACAGTTGCTGACACGGACAGCTACTGATATTGGAAATTGATGATTCATCGCATTCTTCAGAACACTTATCAACTTTTGATAACCATCAGCCGCAGCAACTAACCGGTTAGCTTAGTTTCAGTTTATAATATGATATTCAAAGTAATGAAAAGGGGGCTTGAATTGTGCAAGGCTCTTTTTAAACAAATTCAAATTACAAAACTTCTATATCTAGTTTTCCATCTTATATTACTACACACGATTGGCTTTGAGCAGTCAATTTAAAACTGCTCAAAGGTTTGTAACTTGAAGAATCATATTTTGGACAAAATTATTGAGCATTGAGCAATGGGACATTCTATATCGGCTTTGATCATTACTTGCTTGTGTATTATTTGCTTTGTTCATGCAGAGGTAAGAGACTTTTATTTGATATTTAAGGAATATTGTAAGGGTTTTTCCCAAAAATAAGATGAATATTTCTAAAAAAAATTGAGAACTGTTGAGAACTATATTTCGGAACATATAACTTAAAGTCACTTAAATGAAATTGATATTGATCCAATTTTTTTTAGCCAAATCAATTGACAAGCCAAGAGCAGGAAAATGTGTCGATAATCTTGAAATCATCATCACCATTGAAGCAAAATCAATTTAAGAAAACCACTAACAAGATAAAATATAATGATCGTCGGTTTGCTTTTTTGATGAAACCGCCGTTGCCACTGTCAAGACCGCACTACACTGCAACCGAGTTCTATGTGAAAAGGCTATTGAATGCAACAAAATATGATGCATCTGTAGCATTTGCATTGGATGCATTTTCCGAATATCGAATTGGGGTACTTGCTTGGATGTATGGAATCAGAGAATCCAGTTTGGACATGTGCAAAAAATCAAAGAAAGCACCAGTGATGGTTCTATCAACTGTGGTCTATAGTGTTTTCAATAAAATCCAAGATAGGCTGGATCGAATTCATGAGAGAACGATGAAAACTTTCGAAATTAGTTCGAAGCGATTATTCACAGGCCGAAGAATGAGTGTGAAACAGGTGAATCAAAAGGCTCAACAAATGCTGATTCAATTGAAGAGAAGATTACAGCAATATGAAACAACAATTCGCAAAACCAAAGGCATCTTACGATCGGCCTTATCTTTTCTTTGAATAAAAACAATAATTTTTTTTTTGCTTCCATTTTAACCAGTCTCATATAAAAACAAATGTCGGTGTACACGTCCATTTAACGTTAAAGATAAGCGTCACGTTATTTTTTGTTAAAAAATTGTTGTCGAATAAAAAACACACGATGTAAATAATATTTTAGGAGCGTGGCGGTTTAAAAATTCTGTTCGAACAAAAATCAGTTGATTTGAGTGCTGTTGCATTGATATATAGTCTATAGCGCTTGCTCTTTTCTAACGCAGTGAGCGTCGTTCAACGTCATACGCTGTCCTTGTCATTCTTCCACTCTTTTGGTTAAACCAGAAAGGAGCAAGCGCTATAGACTACATGTCAATGCAACAGCACTCAAATCAACTGATTTTTGTTCTAAAATAATTTTTAAGCCATCACGCTCTTAAAATATTATTTACAACGTGTTTTTTTTTATTCGACAACAATTTTTTAACAAAAAATAACGTGACGCTTTTCTTTAACGTTAAATGGACGTGTACACCGTCATTTGTTTTTATATGAGAGTGTCCATTAAATTCTAAGTAAATACATGTGGCTTTAGAAAAAAACTAAACGATTTCAGTTAAATTAATAAAAGTTTCATAATGGAATTGTCTCGCTTAGTTTTGGTTTGGCAATAGCCAAAGGGAATTACTATGCGAAAATTGCGATGTCGACAAGCTGGAAAGACACGAGCACAAAGTTAATCTAAAAGCATGAAAATGTTATGTGAATTTACAAGATGCACTTAATACTTCAATCTCAATTACATCAGCAGACGCACAATCATTTCTTGGTGTGGCGTGTGCGCACACACAACTAACAACAAATAATAATAATACGAAATTAAGAAAATAAACAACAAAGACATTTCCTCAAAATGCATGATAATAAAATGACGCGCATTACATTATGACCAAAATTGAGTGAGGGTGAATTTAAGCGATGCTATTTTGGCATATTATTTTTCATTTCGTCAGGTCACGATATCGTGCATTCAGCACGTATTTGCATGTGTTTTCTTAATAAGATCATCAAAAACGCAAGAAATAATAAAAATAAATTTATTCATTCATTTAAGTGCCGTCACCGTCACCGCCCTTCATTCCATCTGCTTTCTTTTCGATGTAAACAAAAGTTAGTTGCCATTTTTATACTGCTGCTACATAATGTGTTTCATTTATTTTATTACTATGGAGTTAGCCGCACAGAAAAAAAAATGGAGCATAATCGAGCGCACACGAGACTCTTGCAACTAGATGAAGTAATCGCTATAAAAGAATAGAGCGTCGTTTTAATGGAATTTCATTCAATTTTGCTTCTTTTTATATTCGAGCAGATTTTGCTATTCGAAATTAGTATAGCATTAACTATAGATTTTCATCACAATAAATACTCGAAATTCATGAGAACGAAGCGTTCTTGTAATTTTCATATTTTGTGAAATATGAAATCAAACAAACGAACGTTGTGCTATAACGTGTAAGTGAGTCGTAATTTAATTTTTTCTCATTGGGTTAACTAATATTACACTGAAATATTAATAGTCGAATTTAATAAATTTTCAGCGTTTTTATTTCGCATCTCTGAGCGAAGAAAGCGTTTTCCGTTTTTAAATGCTTGCTTGACTTCAATAACGATGGCAATTTGACTTGAATTTCACCATTTCTATGAAATAAAATTTTGAATTCAATTTCAATAATAATAAAATATGTTAAAAATCGACATTCCGAAAGATCACGTTACGCTGAATGAAAATCAAATTTCTATTGTGCCAACCGCAGTAAATACGTTAAGTTAACATTAATACCGATTGAGCTGGGAAAATGTACATCTTGTACGGTTGATTCAATATAATGTTTTATGGAATTTTCAAACTAATACCGTTATGTTCCATTGGATTTTCCATAAGATAGTATAATTGATACGAACGAATACACTGAACATACGTATTCTAGAAAATTGACGACAAAACATACAACACAAAGAAGTAAAATAGAAACAATGTGATAAAGGCATCGCGAATGGTAAATCGAATGTACATTTTATTATCAGAATGGAAATCGATACATGTCGTTATCACAATTCAATCGGGTGAGATAGAAAAGGGAATATACAGAGAAAGAGAGCAATAAAATCCATTTACTTTGACGTGTACAATTCGATGCGACTGATGAGGTCGAATGGAATATGCGTGTTGTTACATACATGTTTATGCTCCGCGTAATGTAATAACATTCTCTCATTTCGAATGTCGAATTGCTCACGAACATTTTACTATTGCAGCGTGTTGACTGTTGATATTATCCTTATGTATTAAATTTCTTTTTTTATTTCATTTAATTTATGACAAAATGTATTGTTTACGTAGCGTGCTTTTTTGTTTAATACCATTTTTCGAATGGTTTGACGGGTAGTCATTTCGTATTTTTACCAAATGTTGTTGTTTTTATCATTGTGCGCCACATCTAGATGTGTGACAAAATCGTGCATCGTTAACAAACTTCAATATAATTTATTGCAGTGTGTACTATTTTTTTTGTTGAAGTTTTATTATTGACTTACGGTTTCCGGTTTCAATCTTCTCTTATTGATCTCAAGAGAATCGGATTCAGACAATTTACAGTTTATCTATATTTATTTATATTCGTATAGTGTATAATTTCAGACAATGTATTTGTAGTTAGAATGTTCAAAATTAATCGATATATTTGAATCGAAAAAAAAAACACAGAATTCAACACTGGAAAACGTCAACTATTTTTTTTCGAAACCATATTTTTAAATAACATGATGATTTTCACTTTGGTTGGTCTATAATTGAGTCTATATATGCACCTTGAAAATCGTTCGACCGTCTTCAACCCGGTCGATTCAACCATAAATAAATATGTTGCAATTGACATTTATGAGAAAGTCATCTAAATTTGCAAAATGCATTGAATGTGACCCAATTAAAGAAAATTTCCTGAATAATATCATTGCACTTGGTTATAAATACCATGCTATATTGAGATTTTTCATACAAATTAAGCAGAAATAGAGAAAAAATACAGCAAATAAAGTAGCAATGTCCGTTGAAGCAAAATGGAGAGACGCAGTACAGTGATGTGCACAAAACTAGTAATTATAAAGCTATAACATAAAATGACGTCGTCACAGTGCACAATGCGAATAGCGTTTCAAGTTTCAAATAATAGATCTTATATAATACGATTTAATGGCTTAGGATTTAAGAGACCTGAGATTTCGTTATTGATAATAAACTGCAGCATGAAAAAATGGATAAGACGAACATTTGAATTTGTTAACGTTTTTTGGGGTTTCTAGACGACTGTGCATTTGTATGCTTCTTTTTACTAAAATATTCAAAATTTACACTTTTGTATTTGAGCATTGGTTGATTGAAGGGATCGGTAATGAATGTTATGTTTGTTGGTATTGGGTGTTCTTCTAAATCCTGCAGCGCCTTTTCTTCTTCTTCCTCTGTTAGCCATGAAACTAAGACTGGCTTCCCATTCTTGTACTTTGCTATTTCTTCGTTGATAATTTCATATATTTTATCGTAAATCGAAACTCTTGTCCCATTATCGCGATTCATACTCTCAATCTGATCTTCGAATACATAACTGGCAAATTCACCGAAAACTCTGCTCAATCCGTCATCTTCAATTTCCTTGATTTGTTTCTATCAAACAGAAAATTGTAAACCAAACTTCCTCATCTATTAATCGATACAACTTACAATATCTTGTGCCAATTTTCGCCAGAGGTATCTCAATTTTCCGAGGAGTATTTCATGCATTTTACTAAACTGAAGCCATTCGAGTTCTAAACCGAAAAAGTCACTCATTGAAGAAAGAAAACTTCCCCTATCCTCCTTTGCCGCACGTCGACCATCTTCAAAGGTTCTTTGTACTGAAGGTTGCGATATCTTTCCTCGGCTACTTTTATACATTGTTGAAGCTAAATTGTAATCTAAATTCCAAACGGTGTGTTTTTAATATCAAAAATTTAGATACAAAATTTACACTTACCGATAATGAAACACTGGTGTTTACGGAACATTATATTACCATATTTGATGTCATTGTGATGAATACCACGGCTATGGATGTATTTTGTTATTCTTACCTGCGATATAAAAATGAAAATAAAATTCATAGTCGATAATGCTGAAGTCTTCAGTTGTGTCGCCAAGAATGAAAATAGCTTGGAGAACTAATCCTCCTGCTCTGACTTATGGATGTTTCAGTGAGCGATAGCAAGAGCAGACATTCTTAAATTCTTTTTCATTCTCAGAGGCACAATTCTACTTACAAATTCTCTAGATATTATTAAAATATCTGTTTCGTCAATGTCTTTGGCATTAATTTTTTTAGTGAATACTGGATCCAGCAATGTAATTGCCATCAAAGTGTAATCTTCCCATTCGCCGAAATAGTAAACTGATGGAATGCCTTTACTTTCAATAGCCGTATTATTGATTGCATCTAAATATGAATAGATTTCATATTCTCTTCTGGCCTCAAGTTTACCTTCAGACGATGTAAACTTCATTGCCACTTCACGTCCATTTGGACGCAGTGTGCCTAGAGGAAATGAATTTTACTATATAATTATATCTAATGGAAGTGTCTCTTATTCGGAAAAGTTATTCGTCAGAAAATACAAACCTTTGTAAGTAAAACCAATTGATCCACCACCAAGGAATCCAGATTCTGTAGGTTTAAATTGATCAATAAGTTCACCTTTTCTGGCCATCTCGTCTAGTTTCAGCACAGTTTCGTATCCTGGCAATTCTTCGGCTTCGTGACATAGAAAACCATAGATCTATCGAAGTCATATTTCGTTTTCAAAACCAAAAGAATGGGTGGAACAATATAATAGCTGACGTGTACTTACGATTGATGGAAATATTGCCACGAAAACATAACCTAGTGCTAGCTTTTCCATTGAATTTATTTGATGCCTTCAAAAACGTTAAAAGATACGTACTGATCTATACGTCACTGAGCCCCTGTAGATGTTGTCAATTTGTTGGAATTTTACAAAAAGTTCTTGAAAACTGGCTTGCATGTAAATTTTAAAACGTATGTTTGCTTGCGTTAAAACATATGTAAAACGTTTTCTTTACGAATTATTAATTTGTTTTGGATACGTAGAACCAAATTTAAAAAAAATATATCCATAGGATATATGCTTGCTGAGAATGGGACATTTCGATTGTGTGACAATAACAATTTGGTTCTTCAAGGCGTATCTGCAAATATAGATTTCTATTTTGATAGTTTAGTAATGTCCTATTCTCAGCAAACTTCTGAGATATAATGTCTGGATAATTTAAGAAAAGAATAACTAATAAAAATCTAATCGGGATTCCATAAAATATTGGTGTTTGAACAGCTGTTATTAACGCGCTGAAATGAGATGTCGACTGAAAAAAATTCTGATATCGGTTTCAGTTGTGGAATTCTTTTTGGGGATTTTCCACTAGAAAAATTTATTTAATTATCAAGTTTCCAAAGAACTAACTCTAATGCTATTATCAGTTATATAAATTCACCATCTCATCGATAAATTATTTATCTGTTTTATTACTTCCAAATTACTGAAAAACTGTTTCAGGCACTACACTGGCACATGTACTCAAAGAAGAAACAAGCCGTTTTGAATATCTTACACATTTAGAATGATTTTAATAATTTGCTATCTTTTGATAAGCGGGTTTCCAGCCATATATGTAGGTAATTATTATCTGTTAGTAAATAAATTAATAAAAAATATATTTGGTTTCAGGGTGAAATATATTCATCCTTCAATGTTACGGATGATATTAACCATTACTTCGCAAAAGGAGGAAAATTGAATATTACCGGTTCGAGAGAGCACGAATTGCAACTCTTAAAAGGAGAAAGTCTTGGCGAAACGAAGCATGCAATTGTATGGAAGGGTATGAAGACATAATATTCGAATAATGCATGGAATACATGGCTAGATGTACATATTTCTATTTTCTATTGAGGTCTTTATAATCGCAACACAAATATTGCCATCAAAATTTTTTGGAATGAAGAATTATTAAATGAGGAGATAAAGATATATCATGCCCTGAATGCCACAGAGGATCTGAATATTGAAAGTCGGGGAATACCTAAAGTTTATTACTATGGACCATTTCTTGAAAAGTACCACGCCATTGCAATAACATTGTTTGATGGAACTCTCAGAGACCGTTTCAAACTTCAAAATGGACATTTATCTGATTTTAGCATTTTGCTGATATTTAAGCAAGCGGTAATCAAGAATAATATTTTATTTGAATAAATATGAAATTTCCATAAATATTTGAACCTTAGGTACAAACATTAGAATTTATCCAAAGTATGCAAGTAGTCCATAATGACATCAAACCAGAGAACATCTTCCTTCGTGATTCAAACGTCTTTATAGGAGGTAAGAGATGTTATAAACACAGAGAAATAAATGTGTGGAACACTGTTCTGAGGAGCTGGAGGAGCAAATTATTAAAAGTCATCAATCTTAATTATTTTTTCAACTTTTAATATTTTGTTCCTTACTGAGGGCCCCTTCGTATTTTTGCCATTACCCCTCCAAAATGAATGACGTGTGCACGTTCAAATGTCATATTATTTATCGTGTCAATTAGATTTTGGTATAGCCACATTTAAAGGTGCACAGAATTATCGTTGTACGCCAACATTTGCTTCCTCAAGTTTTCATATGAAAGAGAACGCGAGATACCCAATAGATGACTTGGAGTCCTTAGTCTTTACGATGTGGAATATTGGTAATGTTCCGATGGATCCATCCGGCGAATATGAAGGTTATGCCTTATGCAGAAGCTACACAGAAGGGACTACTGAATCTAGATTGCTGGTTTGTAAAACAAATTATTTCCAACATTAAATCGATAAAAAAAAAAAACATTGATTGACTTTCAGAGAAAATGTGAATATTTCAAAAATAAAGATGTTCGAAAGGCCTTTGAGCTCATTTGTTTGGGACAATTTCTATGCAGCCGAAAGGTTCCTGATTACGTTAAAATTATAAAAATATTAACAAAAGCAATAGAAAAAGTTAGTGAGAAGTCGGGTCAGGTGCAATTCGAGTGGTTGTCAAAGGGTGGCCAAACTTCTCTTTGGAAAAAAGCTTTCTCTCGCGCAACGAAAAATGAAAAAACAAAGAATTAAATTCAATACTTTTTAAATATAAACAAAACAAATAAAGAGGCAAATGCTACAAAGGCGAATATGAGACTCGAATTGCAGGTATTTTTCATTATTACTCGGAATACCAATTCGAATTTCTGGATGATTCAAATTTGCGAAAGCCCAAAATTTCCGAGACATCACTGTATCACAAAAAATAGTTCTATAAAGTCAAATAATAGAACTTTCTCTATTATACTCAAGTAAAGTCAATGAAACGTTTCAATTGTTTTAGTTTGTGTCTATCCAAATTGGTTGTTCGAAAATTGTATGCCGAAATTGTTGAATGGCTGAAAATGTTTCTGGTGACAAATTACTCCAATATTATATGCAATAACCATTAAACATTGACAATTTTATGGGTGAATCCATTGTGATTCAGTCAATATATTTAAATCAATGGAGCTGATATGCCATTTGAGAGATATCAATGGGATCGAAAGCCTTCCAAGTTACGAATGGCGAAAATACATTTGACATAATTTACAATTTCAGTTTTGATTCAATTCCCCATGACATAACTCATTTGATACAATGTGCGATTTCCACATTGCCGAATTTGAAGTTTTCGAACGCAACTGAGACTTTTATTGCCATATATTTATACATATTGAAATGAGAACACAATCAACGTATGGAAATATATGAACCGCGAGGAAATACCATTGTTCATGGTGATAAAATGCAGCATGAAGCGGCCCAAAGAGACACAAAACGCTTTTCACCAAATTTATTGATATGTATACTTTCTCTCTTTCTCCTTATCTCTATTCTGAAAATAAGGCATCGCATTGTGGCGCTGTGTGTGTATGTGGTGAAGGCGACATATGCATGGGATATAAAATTTCTTGAAATGTCAGTTTGTGATATTTTTCGTTTTATTTGTGTTACCATCGTCACATTGAGATTTAATGGATAAATCAGTGCACAATACCATTTCGAATACAAAATTCATACAAACAAATTGTGCAAAGATGCACCAAGATTGAGATACCGTATGTTACATTTCATGATTTTCAATGTTAATACGTCGAAATATACCCACGAAATAAGAATATTTTTTCTTCTGTATTTTTCCATGCAATTTACTTTGAAATGACGTCTTCCCATTTTATACAATCATCTTATTGTTGTCGTAGAACCAGATTTGAATATATATGTCTCTGAGTTGAAGTATAAATGTACACTGATGGCATGAGATTTATAGTAATACAAAACGGATTGAAAACATATGAGTTCTCGTATCCAGCTGTGAAATAACCCTTGCATTCACCAACCGTCAAGTTTTGCGAAAGAAAAAAGTTAAAGAATGCCACTCAACAGCTAACAAAAACGAAACTCCTACAAGCGATTTTAATCGAAGCTTATTTTGAAAATTTTCCCTTTCATACTTCATGCCCTCAATACTTTGGTTAGCAGTTTGCTCAACATTGGGCATTGGTATAAAAAGTTTCTATTGAATTGTTTTAATTTATCAGAAGCAAAAGTTTTTTACTCAGAGGAGGTAACTATTGGATAGATCAAGATTTGATTATTCCATAAATTCGTAAACATTTTCGAACAAACAATTAGCTCAGCTTTCACCAATTTTATTCAAGTGTTGTTATTCACACGAATAAAAAGTAAACGAAGCCTACAAGTTTAAAATAACATCGCCTTTTTCGAGTTTGCGTGACAAAAACCCGTTTAACATTGCGTTGAACTGTTTTTTTTTCTCACATTTTATGCAAAATTGAAAATTGCTCGCGAAGCACCCCAATGACACACATTATGGGACGCAGAACACACATATACCCTTTTATTCATCGTACTAAAAAGAACTACTCCCATTAAAATAGAAAGTTGTCGTGACGGATGTAGATTTGTTTTGTGCTGTTTTTCGTCTAGCTTCAGTCGAATGTAATGAGTAACTTTGCTCATTGTTTTATGCAAGAATGACAAAATCATGACTGAATAATGGAGTTTATCGAATGGCGTGAACATATTTACGATGTAATAATAGTTTTTCACGATAAGGTGAAAACGTAAATCAGTTGAAAGTTCTATGTGTTGCGATTGCGTTAACACAAAATAAAAAAGCGATCGTATCATTGACACGGGTACAAAACAATTGTGTCAGAGGAGGTAGACTTCTTTTCAATGTAAATACACTGAAGATTTACATAATGATACGAAATACATTTTTTATGAAACTTGTTGGGAAAATAGATGGAAATGATTAAAAAACCTAGTTACTTTGAATCTAGTTTGTGTTGGTTGATTATCTTTGCGGTGAATATGTGAAAAGGGTTTTTTAATCAACTTTCAATAAAACGATATATAATGTTAACTTTGAATGAAAACATCCGATAGTAAAAACCAAAGAGTACTTGTACATAGCTTGTGGTGAATTGAAACATATAATGAAATATAGTCAATACCAATTCAAAACCGATTCTATTGGCATTCAATAAAAAAAGGAATTTATTCTTTTATTTGATTCTTTTATTTTCGCATTCTATTTCTATTAATTTTTTCAACATCCATTGCCATTTTGTTTTTAGCCGTATTACATAAATTCATGTTGTGGTCAACTTCTTTCATTAAAATATTTTCAAGTGAAAGTGTTGGTTTCAAATCTTTGAAAAAATTATCCATTGATGACGATTGAATATTCTCACCTTTCAAATACTTCTCGATATTAATTAAGTGTTTTCTTTGCTGAACCATTTCGTAATGCATAAGATTGGCAGTTCGGTCGACGTCTTCACGTTGCTCAGATGCGACTTTTTCATGATTCTTGATTAAATTTTCCAATTTTCCTAAAAGCATTGCACCCATTTTCATAATATCTTTCTTTTGATTTTCTATTAATTTTCTTGTGTGATCACCAACTACAGTAACGTAAGTTTGAGTCGCCTTTCCAAGTTCCATAATATTTTTTATCCAAGTTTCAAAGTGATGTAAATTTTCTTGGAAAAAGTTCAAAATTTCTGCAGCAATTTTGTCGTCTTTTACATGTTCAAGGGACTTTTTTACAACACCAATCGACTTTTTCAAGGCATGTAAATCATGTGTTAACTTCATATCTGTTTGTGCGTTCAATACATAAAATGAAGCCGGCTTGTATATTTGGTCTAGATCGGGAAGTGGAGAATAAACCGCCACCGATTCTCTGTTTTTTCCACAAAACTTGATTTCCACAAAAAGAAAAAAGTCAAATAAAAAAAAATAATGAAAATCGTCAATCATAAACTTACGCTACTAAAAACTGACGTAGCTAGGAATAGAATTCGGAATTGTATTTTAGTCAACATTTTCGTTCAAACTGTTTTCAGTCTCTTGATAAATTTGGTATTTATAATGCCCGAGACATTTTTGTGACTTCTTGGCAGGTAAAAACGAGTAAAAAAAATATTGTGAACGGAGCATTTTTGCATTAATTATAATTGAAAACGTAATAGAATATTTGGTAGTCAATTTTTTCCATTGAACTCATTTACGTTATTTTTGAAATTTAAATTAAATGAATATTTACGCTACAATTTGTTGTTTCACCGATATCAGCGATAATATTTATATTCTTTCTGGAGGATATGCGTGACGCAAAAGAGTGTCTTCGTAAGTAAAAAGTCGTCACACGTCTGTTTTGATTTTTTGTTCAAAATAATCATGTACTCAAGGTTAACTGTCTAACTGCCGCCTCTTATATCTACCTACTTACTTGTAAACACCCAACGTTGAGCATGTTGATTTTGGTGACAAATACGCAATTATTACAATAGTTAGTACCAATAAGCCAAATTTCTCTGTCTTCTCAAGTGTTATTTCTAAAAATGGAAATAAAATGTTCAAAATTTGTTTATCGAAAAATGATTCCTGAAACGAATAGAGTCGGACCTGGTTTTAATGACCCAAGTATGAATCCAAAGTCATATTTATGGATAATAATACCCATCGCATCGATGAGTGAAAGTATGGTATCCATGATTTACTATTTGTGGCACGAAAAAGCGACATCACGTCGCCGACATGAATATAAAATTGAAGTAGGTGTGTGGTTATGGTGAGAAAAATAATCCAAATTTTATTATTTGATGGCATCGCACGAATTTCAGTAAAAATAATTATAGCACAACGGTATTCACACTCTCTTTCTTTCTCCTCTCCCTCTCTTTCCCTCTCTTCTTGGCATTGTAAATACTTTCATTTTGTTAATGTTTCACATAAAAGTGAAATTCATTATCTAACAGCGCAAACTGAAATTATGTTAATCAGAAAATTGTGTAGCGAAAATGGCACGTTTGGGTCTCTATCATTTGGTTGGATCACGGTTTTTTATGTACACAAATCTAACACTGATTTTCATATTTAAACAATATTTCGCACGCATGCATATATAATATTAATGTGAAATTGGTTGTGATATCCTTGAATACAATTTTTTTCGGTTACTTGAAACGATGAATCCATTGTGTCCCGTGTATATATAGATCACCAATTATGCATGAAGCAAATTCATAGATGTATGTATATTCATTGCGTCCTTTACACGTTCTATATTTTCAATGTAAACATTGATCTATTGCCGTTGTATGCCTTGTCGAGGCGTACAAAGTGTTTTATTGAATGAGAATGATTCATCATTAAAATTTAATTGCCATCTATTCAGCGATTTTGATGGTGTTTGCTTGAACAAATATATATGTATAGATAAGAGTATACATACAGCTAGGCATACAATGTGCAGAAGTAGTAATTGGAACCTACATATAATTCACATGCATACACATATACACATCTATTTCTGTTGTTAATTCAGTTCCATTTAGTGATTTCCTTGTGAGCTATCGTTCAAAAGTGTTCGTTGTAATTTCGCATTGAAATCCTGAAAAGGTTGTAGTCATCAATATTCTTGACGGGTTTGTTTGTGTTGTTGTTTTTAATTTCGACAAAAACTTTCCTTAGAAAGCAATTTACATGATTGGTTGAGTGAATTTAATAACCATCTTCTCTTCTATGTTTCTCGAATTATTATACAAAGTTATGCCAAAAGAAAATCGTAGCACAAATGTATTGGAGTCATTGGCGACCACAAGGCAATATGCAAATTTGGCAAAAATGACGGTAAACACAATTGAAACAATTGGGCAAAATAACAAAGATATCGTTAGGGGTCGCTGCTGTCAGGGCGCACTCTATGAACACATTTGAGCTAAGGATGAAATATTAAACTATTTTATAGATAGAATGGATAGGATTTCATCCCTCAAAAATAACAACCTTCTTACTGAAAGTGTGAATTTATTTCTAGAGAATGATGAACATTTTCCAAACACACCAATCATACCATTCAAACATTCAACATACCATGAATAGCACTGATGTACTTCATGAAGATACAACACATTATTATGGGCAATAAATGTTTGAAAATGGAAAATTGAAAATCTCATACAAACACATAAATGAAAATTATATTCACACGTGATTCAGTGTTCATACGACACACAGCCAGAGACAGAGAGTGGCAGATATGTGTTATAACTTCGACATTGCCAGAGAATTCAATTGTAATGGGTTTCATTTGAATATTTGCATTAATTTATCGTCTGGCATACGATCCAAACCAATTTCGGTGCCAAATAATTTCTTTGTACATACGCGTCAAACAGTATTTGCATCATTTATGGGACGCACAGCAATTAATAATAAAAACATATTTCAAATCATAATATCGAAAGAGATAGAACAGAAGTACTTCGATATGCATACAATAGAAAACCCCATTAAATGACATATGCATTCTTTGTATAACACTCATACACTAAAATCTCAGTATTTCATTATTATTATTTCATACACGCAAGAGAGAGATAGAGCGAAAATGTATTTTCAAATGATGGCAATTTTCATCGCCACTTTCTCTAACAAGAGGGTAAAACCAAAGATCCTCAAACACACAACACTAACATGCTATGTAGATTTTGAAGAGTACTCAAAATGTTCAAGCATTCGCTATGTGTAGCTCATAGAATTCAATGATTTGAATTAATAAATGTTCATGATTTTGGTTTATAAATTTGTCTAAACGTGGTTTCCGCTGATGTTTGCACATATATATATATATATATATATGGTGTGCGCTGGCTTGCCTATCAATTCTTGCCGACGGAGACGCTTTTTCGATAAATTGTCTCGTAAATAGATTTATTTGCATGCGTCTGCATGTGGTTGGTTTGATTGAGAGGTTATGTTTCTGTCATATACATTGATTGTTTCGCTACTATTCTTGTAACAGCTCTCTTCTTCCTCTCTCTCGCTGTGGATGTTCGTTAAAAACCCAACTCAATAGATATGCTATCTCTTTAAGCAATGAAGCTCTATCAACATTCAATTTGTGATATGACATCAACTATATCATCTCTACTTCATCTGTAATATGTGTGTGTTCGTCGCACTCTCCATATTGTATTATATATAACGTAGAATTATTCGATTCGATTTGGTCGCACATGTGTGAATACAAGTGTTTTGCAATCGCTATTAACGGGCTCTTATCGTTATCATACATGTTGAGCTTTATCTCTCTATCTCTCTCTCCCTTTTTTTTCATTTTATTCGAAATATTTCGGAAAATTCAACCACAGAATTCAACTTGGGCATACATTTGCCGGCAAAATATACGCAGGAGCACGAACCCATTGAATTTCACTATTGATGTGCCATTCAATCCATCCATTATGTTTATTAACATTCGAGTATCTTCAATCATCGATGAAATATTTGTCGAGTATTTGAACCGCATTCTCGAATTCGATTCGAAAAAAAAGTGGATGCAAATATTTCAACTCAATTTGATGACGCAGATTGAACATTTCAATGTGTTTCATATAGTCTTTTGTTTGTCAGCGAGAGATAGAGGGGATCAATTTTAAAACAATTACATACAAAACATAAAATCATTGTATAGAATACGATACAAAGAACACATTTTTTTACTCAACTTTTCGTTTCAATACTACTTTTACAAAATGGAGTTGATTTTCAAAGTGCTTTTTAAATGAAAATAGTCGGCATTCATAAAATTAAGTAAATGTCGGTTTTTGATATTTTATATCTTCCCAAACCATACTAATTACCTACAAGAGAGTTGTTTTCACCTGAAACTTCTGCAATTTATTCACCCAGTTTCTTGTTACTAGAATAAAAGTCCTTATTTATTGTTGCGGCTTTTAACATATGGAAAGTTGCGGAATTTAACCAACACACAGAGAGGGAGAGAATTTAGAATCTTATTTGCTGGAAATTCTCCAAAACCAAAGAAACTTTAATGAAATATGATCAATGCAGTACTCGGTGTAGAATTGATAACACATATCCAGTTTATAACATTCGTTCGTGTTCGCTTCGAATGCAGCAAAAATTTTGCGAATAAGTTTATGACAAACCAGTACATACCACCTAAAAACTAGAGATGTAAACGAACGCGGTCGTAAAAAAATATTTGGGTTCGTTTTCTTTCGTGTTCGTAAGGACGGGCACTACGAATGAACGCCTGGTTCGAAACGCGAGAAATCACGAAAAAGAACGTTCGCTGACAATCTTCTCAACTCACGTACAACAATTACTGAAAAAGAGGATTATACAGAAGGAGAAAGAACGCTCATTCCTAAGCTGATTCGCATCATTTTTGATTCCAAAGAAATAAGTTTTTCCTATTAAAAGCTATAAATTTTCCTATTTTTATGAGAATCTGCGGATTTTTTTTTATTGAAAAACACATAAATAAAAAAAAACCACAAAAATGACACAGCTAAGTTGCAAAGGGAAAAAATTGAAAATATATCTGGTTACTTGCAACTGAACTGTATCAATTTTAAGTTGCAAAAGTGGATGTAAAAACAACTTATATTTGGTAGTAGCTGATCATAGTTGAAAAAAATAAATTGACTAGCGGATTAATGAGAACTTAACTAAGTGAATTAATACTCCATGTTTCGTTGCTCTGTGTGTACACGTGTAATAATTTTTTTGACTGTACGTGTTTGTGTACGTGTGCGTCCTCCACCCTGTATTTGGTTTTTCATTGTCGTTGTTGTAACTGTTGTTTTGGTGTTAGTTTCTGTATCGCCGCTAGAATCTGTAATTTTATATATACAATATATATTTTTGAAATACGTGGAAGATGATATAAATATTTTCTTAAACATTTATGAATTATAAAGAAAATTAAATTTACAGAAGTCAAATTAAAATCAAAAATACCTTTCTTCTCGATAGTGTATGTCTCAACACCAACCTCAGCACCTTTTTTGCCTGGTGTTTTATTGTATTCGAAAACCTCTGTGTTTTCTGTTTTCTTGGTGATTGTCCAATTCTCGGTGACCAAAAATTCGGATTCACCTTCTTCGTTGATGGCCGATACACGGAATTTGTATTCTGGACCTGCGCTCAAACCAGTAACAACATATTCGAAATTTTCTTTTTTATCGCCAAAAATTGAAATTTTTTCGACCAGCGACCATTTGCCGCTTTTAGTATCTTGTTTTTCAATTCTGTATTGCTTGATTAGAACACCACCATCGTCTTCTGGTGTCTTCCATACGAGTTTGCACCCGGTTTCGTGAACATCTTTTACTACTAACGGTCCCTTGGGTGGACTTGGTGGTGCCAATACAATCAACTCAACGATTTCTTCATCGCATCCACTGCGATTTGTCGCTTTGAACTTATATTTTCCCGTATCATTACGTTGAACGTTAATAATTGAGAAATTGGTGTGATATTCCTTGTTTTCGATCTTGATGTGATCTGATGAAGTGAGTGTTTTACCATCAGCCCGATTCCAAACCAATTCTGGTGCTGGCTCAGCAGCAACATCGACAGACCATCTATGTGTACTGCCGGCCTTGATCGTAACTGGTTTCAATGTCTTTCGATC